TTCATATGAAAGAGGCTAACACACTTTCTTTTGTTACAGAGCAGCACCATGGGAGTGTCACACCCATGTATATTCTTTAGATATTTCCAATGATAAATTATTAATTTTAATTTATGAGTGCTTAACTTGAAAAAAATCACAAAAGTAAAGTTTTGTAGTTGTAATACAACCATTAAAATGTGAGGCACTGTGTGTTCCAAGGCAAGTCTATAACCCAGTATAGAAAATGCAGTGTCACAGGCAGCATGTCCATTGAATTCCCCTGTGGTTTATCTCCATGCAGTGTCATGAATATGGCTGCCTATGTCCCCTTCTCTGGACAGAGTAAATTTACATAAAATCTGGCTCAGCATGTCACCACCTATAAGTTTTAGTTCTTAACCAGTAATTCAGTCAATGAACAAGACACATGAACACAGCAAAATTAAAAATGGGCTGTGTTCATAAGAAAAGAAACATAATGGTCAAGGAGGCAAACAAGCTGGAGAAATGAGCACTGGGAAACAGCAGAGGAATCAAGTCCCAGGTAGAAAAAACCAGACCAGAACTCAAATCCACCAGGCTCATGGCCAGGCTGGGGTAGATGGTGGGGACCCAAGAGTTCTCCATGACTCCTCAGGGCTGGGGTGTGGCCTTCAATCACAGATCTGCTGTGTCTTGGTGTAAACCCCTGCAGCCTTCACAGAGGCCAGCTGATTGGATGCTCCAAGCTATAAATGCTCCAGGCTGAAGTTATTCCCCCAAGTCCTGGCTGCACTGTGCTGCCACTGGGGGCTGGGCAGCAGGAGAGGTTAGGTCACTCATTCAGCAGCCACTAGGATTCCCACAAAGAAATAGCTGAGCACGTGGGTGCCCCAGTATGACCTAAGGTGTAGTTCCTGAATTCGATGGACGATAGAAAGTTTTCCCATGGTCTTTGAACCAAGTAGGCCTATAAAGTGTCATAGGCTTGGGGCAAGGCATCAGTGACAGTGAGTGGTGAGTTCGAAGTCCAGGCCTTGCTCTATCCAATGGACTGCATGTGATAATGGCAATGTGAGGTAACCCGAAGATGATGGTCTTTGTAGGGATGATATCAAATTACAGGCAGGTGTGCATGGGGACAGTGGGCAGGTGAAGAGAACCCCATGTGACCCTCTAGTGCCTCACCCCCAAGCATGATAGAATCTCCACAGTAAAGGACTATGTGTGTTATCCCACTCCCAATGGACATTTCAGAACCAGTGCCCAGAGAGGGACAATGCCAGGCCCAAGGCACAGGACATGGGCAGAGTGAAGAGGATGGGGGAGAAGTCCAAAAGAGAAAAACCTCCTAGCACAGGACCCATCCCACTCCCAAATGCATCAGAAAAGCAGCCCTCAAGCTCCTGGGACCTGAGCCTAAACATATGGGACTGATTTCAAGCAGCATCCCAAGGGATACACACACATGCACACATACACACACACACACACACACACACACACACACACACACACAAACACAAACACACACACACACACATGAACACACAGTGATGCCATGGGCGCCCACTGGGTAGCTCAGAGGAAAAGGGATCTGATTCATTCAATCTACATGCCTCAAATTCTCACCTTATTCCTGGGCTGAGCTAGGCTGGCACCAACACAGAACAGGACAATATGTCACTGGCCACCCAGAAGCTGGAAGGCTGAAGGAGAGGGATAAAGCACTGCAGATTGTAGTGGAAGAGAAGACCCAGAGCTATATCCCAATAAAGCAAGGGCACACAGAGGTCAAGGTCACTACATGGGGGCATCTGAACAGCCTAACTGAGACGGAACTGATGCCTGAACCTGAGACATGCAGGCCCTAATGCTGTACAGAGTTGAGTCTGTGTGGCAAAAGATAGAGGACCAACCATTTAGAGATTCAAAGTCAACTTTTTTAGTCAAGAAAGAGATGAGAAGCGAGAACAGAAGGCCTGGTGAGGGACAGTGGTGGGGGCAGAACCTCACATCTGTTATAGTGCATCAGTGACCACTGATGATTGCATTACTACAAACTTAGGTACGACAGGTAAACTTCAGTTCTCTCAGGTTCTATGGGTCAGGCATTCAGGAGGTGCTGCTGGGGGATCCACCATAGTTTCTCCTGACCAGGTTGCAGGCTCAGTGGAAACACTGCTGTGGCAGAATCTGTTCTCAGGCTCTCTCTCTCTTGCTAAGAGGCAGGAACTCAGTTAGGATGGAGGTCTGATGACTTCTCAGTCTGTTAACCTTTTTCTCTGCAAAGAGTCAGCTTCTCCTCAGGGAAAATGCAGAGATAATCAGAGATTTAGAGAGGAAGACAGAATGAATCAGAGAGGAAGGAAGAACAGATGAGAGAGAGAGCAGGAGGTTGGTCACAGTCATTTTATGTGTGAACCTTGAGAGTCACATCCCATTACATCTGCCATGTTGTGTTATTAAGAACAAGTAAGGAATTGGGGAGAGAGCTCAAGATACAGCACTTGCCTACCATGCATGAGGACCTGGGCTCAATTTCAGCCTGGCTAATGCAAACCAGTACAAAATTCACTACGTGTGACCCACACTCAAAGAATGAGCTACTCAGGAGGTGGCCATCAGAAGGTGAGCTGTCAGCAGTTGAGCACCCTTGCCATGGGTGTGGTGACTCACACAGGTGTGAATGTAGGCATAGTGCTGGTAGATTTGAGGGTGCATCTACATCCATAGTGCTTGCTTAGCCTGTGTGAAGTCCTGACTTGAGGCCACAACACCAATACATAGAAGAAATTGAGATGCTTAGGGGACATAATGATGGCAGATCTGAAGAACTTCTGCCCCCTCATTATGCCACCAGGGAAACATGCATAGGAGGAGAGTGTAATTTCCACCACCATACAGCAGGAACCAGGCCTGTGTGCACTGTGTTCACCTCCCTTCAACCCCTTCATGGAATTCACCTCTAATTCTGTATACTGTGTACACATGACACCAGCCCATAAGGTTTAAAAGTGTCACCTCTCACTTCAGATGATGTCCCTAGGAAGCAAATGCCATAGTTCAGGGGGACACACTGGAAAGGAACTGAGAGGCATTGTGTCTTGTCTAAGTTGACAAGGGAAGTGGGAAGGAGGAGTTGGGTCTAAAACTAGGTCTGCTCAGACCAGGGATCCTGGCTTTATTGTGGTTTTTCCTTTCCTGTGGGAAAGCTTTGCCTCTTGCCAAGGATCCATCACTTGGGTGGAGCTGTTGTCTTCACTCTGAAGGACACTGGACAGTCATTCCATGTGTTTCCATGGTATCCAGAGCAAGAATCTCTGGGTGATGCCAGATGACCCAGTTCCACACAGACATCATGGAGGAAGCTGGTGAGGGCCTTAAATCATCAAAGTACCAGGCATTGACCATGATGCAATGACCAGAGCAGAAGCAAACACTGGTCTCTTGTGCTTCCATGTTATGAAGGCCACAAATTCACCCTGCAGAGCTGACCAGGTACTACCCACATTACGGTGAGTGTCCCTAATTCTTGGCCTCTGTACACATGGACATAAAATAGGGGAATGGGAGACTCACAAAGGTACACAGAATGGGGTGATGCATCAGTATATGAACTGAAGGTGGAGGGAAGGCAGGCAGGAAGCACTCCCACTATCCACTCAGTTTTCAGATAGTTATAGAGCAGCACCCTGTTGAGCACCCATGATAAGAGTAACACTGCAGACTCCACTCTCTTTCTCACAGAGGCAATATGCCACAAGGGTGGAAAAGGGAGTTGCATTTCAGGCTTCCTGCAGAGTGGAGGGCAGGTGGTCACAGCACTGTCCAGGGAACTTTGTGAGCAAGTGAGGGCTGATTATGTTTAGCACACAAGATACGCTGGGAAGGCCGTTGGGGAGGGAGGCCAGACCTGTAGTGCTGCTTACACCTGTCCTCCTCGGGATCAGAGTTTCCCTTCTTGGCACCTGGCAGGTGCTGCCGAGGAAGGTGGGACAGCCCGCCAACCTAATCTGAGTTGGCGCAAGCCTAGCTCACTGAAAATGAGAACTACAGTGAGAAGGAATTTGCCTGGGTCTGTTGGTTTCTGAGGAGGACATGGGGCACTTTACAGGGAGAAAGACAGACTTGGGACCTCCGGCAACACAGAGGCATGCAGAAGTGAGTGGGGTGAGGCAAAATAGGAAGCTTTCCTGGGGTGCATTTGTACACAAAGCTGTCCCTGACAGGCCCTGGGAGGCTTTGGGGCTTGCAAGGAACAAGGACAGTTGGGGATTCTTCTAAGGCAGGGCTGGTACTGGACGGAGCTCAAGGTCTAATTACAGATCTTGTGCCAGCCTCACCTGCAAAGACCTCACCAGCTCTGGGATCAACCTGAAAATCAAGGTCAGAAACCCGGTCTGGTGGAATTCCAAGGCAGGTCTGTCAGTGGCTCCATGGCAGGTGTCCTGAGCTCCACTTAGGGCTCAAGTCCTGCAAAGCACCCGCCCTTCACTTTCCCTTCCCTTTACCTCTTCTATTTCTCTCAGTTTTCATTTCTACTCTTAAATCTATAGTTCTTTGAAACATTAAATTCTAAGATAATTTAATTTTAAGTTAAGATTTCATTAGTTTCCACATGTTCAATTGAGTCACATGTAAGCACATTGTCAACTGGTACAATCTTCACATCTGTCTAGTTCCAGGTTTCTGCTCACTGTTAGACCCAGCCATACCCCTGGTCTCTCCTGCTAGTTCCCACCCACCGCTGACCTTTCTCTCACTGTGATTTAGTACCCTGGGTTTTCCATATCAGTGCATCAGATTCTGTTTGGCCAAACAATCCTGGAGGAGGCTGGATGCTATTGCTGTTTGATAGAAGAGAAAACCACAGATAGACAAAATCTGCAGGGAAAATGTAGAGACCATTGTGTATGTACTCATCTTTTCATGTTGGAAAATGTTATCCATGATTTCAGTGATACAAAGGGAGCTACAAATGGCTGATTCATTGGATTTGAAAAACAACAATAATGCAAAAATCACAACAGGAAACCTTTCTTTACAACCTTAGTCAGATAGATGGTTTTTATTACAAGTATTAAAGAGGTCTCATGAGTCCATTTTGTGAGGGAAATGACAAATTTTTCTAACTCAAAGTAAATTACCAGACATGGCCAACAAGCACACAAAACACTGAGACTCCTAAGCCTGATTCATGCAGGCACACATCTTTGAAATGTGCTGTTTCCCCATCCAGTGACATATTTTAAGGCAGGTGCTGAACAACAATGGGAAGGACATGCGGGGCAGAGCACAGCCCTATCTTGCAGCTCCCATCAGAGCTCTAAACAGCCTTCCCTGGGACTAAGAATAGAGTTTTCTCCCACACAGAATGCTGCACAAATTTTCAACAGTTTGATTCACAGTACTCTTTGAAGCAGGAAGGAACTGGGACCCTCCCTAGCCTCTGCGTAGAGTGTGCACAGGAGAGTTGTCTGGATGATGCTGTTCACTGCAGCTGGGGGAACCTTGCCCTGGCCCCAGGGCAACAGATCTGCAGGGCTAACGATGACCAACTCATGCCAAAACAAGGTTTTCCCTGGGCCAACCAGCACACTGGGCATCTCCACTGCAATCCAGTGACTCCCGAAGCCAGTAACAGCACTGGGAAAGGGCATTTGAAAACCTGGGTGGCCAGTCAGGTGAGGGGCAGCACTGCCTGACACAGCTGTGCTAAGTATGTCCCTCTGGAGCTAAACCTCCAGCGGATCCCACTCATTGCCTTCATCAGGTCTGGCAGCAAGGATGTCACACAGAAGCACAGCAACACACTTGGTTTACTCAAACTAAATCGTTTAGCTTCCCTTCAAGAAATGACTGAAAATGCACCAGTCTGGAAAAATCAAGGCTGGGAGCATTGCTCTGCGTTTTGTATAAATAAAGTGATCCTTTACAAGACATTGTGGTAATGCCCGTGGGTGGGTCTGCTATGGCAGAGATGTGGACTCTCATGAATACAGGTTTTGTTCCTGGAATAGAAAAATTGCAAATAAATGATGCATGTGCATGACTTTCTGTTTGTATTGCACTGAAGGAAAGGGGATGGAAGCAGCAACCTAGATGTACTGAGTTGCCTCAGTAAACCCAGGGCACAATCCACCACATGATTCCATCACCCAATTGTGAAAGCTCAGCAACTTGGTTCCTGCTTGCTGCTGCTGTTGGTTGACAATTTTGAGGTGTTTCTATCTGTGCCAGCCATCTCTGTGTCGCTTAGCTTCTATCCCCAGGGTGTAGATCAGGCTAAGTGTTTATAAAAAGTTCCATCATGATTTCAGGACCAGTGGCAGCCTCTCATGTACTGGAAATAATTCTTCAAGTTTGGCCATAAGAAACCTGACACAATGGGCTTGAGAGGCAATGAAATTATCTGATATAAATGCAGGAAACTCATTTTGTCTGTGCCAGACTCAGCTGCTCCAGAAGCCCATATTTTTGAGGTAAAAAGATATGAGTCCGAGTGTTGGAAGGCACAGTGACATCCCCAAGTTCACTTTCTGCTTTGCTTCACTCATTCTACTAAGCTGCAGAATGGATTCTGACTGTTCAAACACATAGCGTGTGAATTGCAGTAGAAGTCTGTAAAAACTTCAGTTAACTAGGGTGTAAAAAGACAAGAAATGTTTTTTGGCAAAATACACCTCTAAATATGTATTTGAAGCATCAAAGAAACCAAGAAGACAAAGATGAAGATGAAGAAGAAGGAGGAGGAGAAGAAGAAGAAGAAGAAGAAAGAAAGAAAAGAAAGAAAACCAAAAAGTAATGCCAATGTGTGGTGTTTTGTCTCCAATGCCTCTGCCTCATTTAGAAAGAAAAGGGTCAAAATTTGCAGAAATGGAAGGGTCATTGTGGAAAATGGACTTTGCCCCAAGGCACTGATGGTGTGTCTGGCCCACTATGAATGTCCAATCCATGGCAGAGCCTGGACCCTGTTGGAGGCTGAGGCCAGGACCCATGAGTTGAGGCCCCTGGGGCTGAGGTGGCAGAGTATTTTCTGCACCCTCATGGCTCTGCCTTATTGGGCCTGCAGGGCTGCAGCATGGATGCGGTGGTGGAAATGGGTGTAAGGCAGGAGGTGCTGGCTCCTCTGCATGCTGCACACTCCCTGCTTGACCTGAGCACAGGAAGATTCAAGTGCTCCTTGCTGGAAAAAGAGACTCTGAAAAAGAGGTCTTGTTCTGTACTGTTTTGATCCATTCTATTATAGGCAACTCTTTTTAAAAATAGCAAGAGGAACAATGGTAACCATTTTTGATCATCTGATAATCTATTTTTGCATCATGTCCTATGCCCACCCTTCTGTTCTAACTGACTCTGTTTTATTTAGTCATGTTAGGATTTATTCTCTTCAAAAAAATGTAATAAGAACTGTGGGAGTAAAAAAACTCAAAAAGTGTAATTGTTATTGTAAAAAACAGGAAAGGAAGGTGGTCTAAGGGATATAACTGCATGCTTGAGTGTGTAGGATGGAAAACCGTATTACTGAGCTTTTGTTGGATCATTGAACAGAACTTTCTGCAATCTCACTGTATGAATGTCCACTTTATATATTCAATGTGTGTGAAGATGGGAACAACTATTTGGAAGAAAACTAGAGACAGTAACATAGACAGTGAACATCTACAGTGGACTTGCTTGTTTTGTCATGTTTAATCTTACCCTCTTTAATTTTATAATTTGACAACTGCTTCTAAGATGACAAGATGTAACCTATTAACTAGTGATTTCTTATTGAATTTTTTCTGGAAATTCTGTATTACTTGTACCCTTTTACTGCTTTGTTTTTTATTTCCTATCTTTGTTCTCTTTAATTAAAAATAATCAAACCTGGAATGGATATCTTTTATTTATTTATTTATTTATTTATTTATTTGGCACTGGAGATCAAACTCATGACCTCACACTTGCCAGGCAGGTGCTTAAGCCACTGAGCTAAATCCCCAGCCCACCAATGGATATCTTTTACATCTTGTCATCTTTACAGTAGTTGCCTCTTCTCTTGAACTTGATACTAGCAAGCATACCAAAGGTGAATAAAATCAGTCAAGGCCAAATAACATTCAAACAAACCAGCTTCAAAGATCAGTCATAGAAGACAATGTAAGTAATATAGGGTTTCAGTTTTAGTTAATAGAAAATTAAGGATAGTTACCATGGTATAACCTGCTATTTTTGGGTTATCTCTCTGTGCCCTCAAATCTAATGTGTGTAGACAGACCAGAACAAGATATAACCAAACAAAATAGAGCAACAAGACTACTGTATATTTTAAATCCTGATACACCTTTATCAATGTCCTCTGCCTTCTTTTTTTAGAAAATTCCTCACCTTTCTCCTTCTCAGGATACTATTATTCACTGTTCAGTGATATTAGTCTAGTCTCTTATGTTAAATTTCAGCATACATAAAGATAATGACAGCTACTATGAAGAGAATAAGAGACATTATGGTAGTCATTACCGATTTCCCCAAAATCAGTCTTGAAGACCGAAAAAGCCTGCATCACCCTGTAACTATTTGATTAGTTCTATAATGTTTGGTATATATTCAATGTGTGTGAAGATGGGAACAACTATTTGGAAGAAAACTAGAGACAGTAACATAGACAGTGAACATCTACAGTGGACTTGCTTTGAAATCTGTTTGCTTAACTTGTTTCCTTATGAACTGTTCTGTTCGGTTTTGTCATGTTTAATCTTACCCTCTTTGAGAACAAAAATTGTGTAGGACAGATAAGCATATTAACAACTTTTTGTTGGATCATTGAGGTGAACTGTTGACAGTGTCATTATTTGAATATCACTTTGTATGCTTTAATTTTGTTACTTGAACAACTATTTCTAAGATGACAATATTTAACTAATCAACTAGTGATTTCTTATGGTTTATTTTTCTGAAATTCTGTATTATTTCTACACGTTTTCTTTTTTCTCTTTAAATAAACAACATTACAATTCACCAAAAAATATAAAATTTAAGTTTTACAGAAAAATATTAAGTACATAGACACTATCCATACTTGAAAGTGAAAAGCCCATTTCAGTTTAGCATGTTTAATTAAAGATGCCATGTTGAAACACAAAGACATTTTAAAAAATCTAGAGAGGTACAAGTGATTAACTGAGAACCATACAACATGTGCACCTAAGGAGAGCTCCACCTCAGGTTTGTCATTTCTGGAATATTTGTGAAGATATATTGACATCTAACTTCTGTATTGATTATTTCTTCAGGTCTCCCTGTGATTTTTAAAGTAAATTTAGATCTAAACTGTCTGAACAGTGACACTTTTTCTATGTATTTAACAAGAAACATGGATTGCTGTATTTCTCACATTGTTAATCCACATAGGATCTCTGCCCAGTGAGCTCTTTCAGATATGTAACAATGATCAAGTATGCTGAGAGTATTCTCATAACACATAAGATTTATCTCTTGTGTGAGTTTTTTCATGTATTTCACTTATAATCTGGCTGCTGAAAGTGTCTCCACTTGCTTACATAGCCAGTGGTTTTTCCCAGTGTGAATTCTTTCATGTGTTTTACAGTGACTGTATGTGGTAAAAGCTTTGCCACATTGTTATATAAATAGGGTTTCTCACCAATGTGAAGTCATGGATGTATTTTACAATATCCATGTTTGGTGAAAGCTTTCCCACATTCTTCATGTACACATGGTTTCTCAACAGTCTAAATTTTATAATGTATTGCACGATGAGCATTTCTGCTGAAACCTACCCCACATTCCTTACATATATAAGTTTTCTTCCCAGTGTGAAGATTTTCTTACATTATGCAATATATACGTGTGCTCAAACCATTCTCATGATTCTTATATACACTGGTTTTATCTTGAGTGTGAACTTTCATGTTGCTTACAATGTCCATGTTGGGTAAAAACTTTCCCACATTGCTTACATACATATGGTTTCTCTCCAGTGTGAATTCTTTCATGTTGCTTACAATGTCCAGAGTTGGTAAAACCTTTCCCATATTGCTTACATACATAGGGTTTCTCTCCATTGTGAATTCTTTCATGTTTCTTACAATCTCACTACATTTTAAAAGCTTTCCCACATTATTTACATACATAAGAGTTTGTCTCCAGTGTGAATTCTTTCATGTTTCTTACAATCTCCCCATGTGCTAAAAGCTTTCCCACATTGCTTACATACATAGGGTTTCTCTCCAGTGTGAATTCTTTCATGTTTCTTACAATCTCCCCATGTGCTAAAAGCTTTCCCACATTGCTTACATACATAGGGTTTCTCTCCAGTGTGAATTCTTTCATGAACCTTAAAATATGCACGTGTTTTAAAAGCTTTCCCACATTGCTTACACACATATGGTTTCTCTCCTGTGTGAATTCTTTCGTGTTCGTTACAATTTGCATGAGTGGTAAAAGCTTTCCCACATTGCTTACATACATATGGTTTCTCTCCAGTGTGAATTCTTTCATGTCTCTTACAACCTTCCCGTCTGTTAAAAGCTTTCCCACATTGCTTACATACATATGGTTTCTCTCCAGTGTGAATTCTTTCATGTTTCTTACAATATCCCTGTGTCTTAAAAGCTTTCCCGCATTGCTTACATACATATGGTTTCTTTCCAGTGTGAATTCTTTCATGAACCTTAAAATATGCACGTGTTTTAAAAGCTTTCCCACATTGCTTACACACATATCGTTTCTCTCCTGTGTGAATTCTTTCGTGTTCGTTACACTTTGCATTAGTGGTAAAAGCTTTCCCACATTGCTTACATACATATGGTTTCTCTCCAGTGTGAATTCTTTCATGTCTCTTACAACCTTCCCGTCTGTTAAAAGCTTTCCCACATTGCTTACATACATATGGTTTCTCTCCAGTGTGAATTCTTTCATGTTTCTTACAATCTCCCTGTGTTTTAAAAGCTTTCCCACATTGCTTACATACATATGGTTTCTCTCCAGTGTGAATTCTTTCATGTATCTTACAATCTCCCTGTGTTTTAAAAGCTTTCCCACATTGCTTACATACATATGGTTTCTCTCCAGTGTGAATTCTTTCATGTATCTTACAAACTCCCTGTGTTTTAAAATCTTTCCCACATTGCTTACATACATAGGGTTTCTCTTCAGTGTGAAATCTTTCATGTTTCTTACAATATCCGTGTCGGGTAAAAGCTTTCCCACATTGCTTACATACATAAGGTTTCTCTCCAGTGTGAATTCTTTCATGTTCCTTACAATGTCCAACTTGGGTGAAACCTTTTCCACATTGCTTACACACATAGGGTTTCTCTCCAGTGTGAACATTTTCATGTATTTGAAAATGAATTTTCCTGCTAAAAGCTTTCCCACATTTCTCACATATATGCGATTTCTGCCCAGTGTGAATTTTTTCATGGATTACACAATAAGTACATGTGCTGAAAGCTTTCTCACAGTGCTTACATTCATAATGTTTTTCTCCAGAGTGAAGTCTTTCATGTACTTGACAATATGTACGTGCTGTAAAAGCTTTCCCACACTGATCACATATGTAGGGTCTCTTTCCTCTGTGAATTCTTTCATGTTTCTTACAAATTCCATGTGTGGTAAAACCTTTCCTGCATTGCTTGCATACATAGGGTTTCCCTCCACTGCAATATTTTTCATGAATCTGAACATTGTCATGTGTTTCTGTTTCTTTCACATTCACATTACCTTCTTCAGTACCAAGGAAGACTTCTTTACACTGATTCCAAGATGTATGTCCATAGGATTTCCCTAGCTTTCTGTAAAGAAACAAATCACATATAATATTTATAACCACATTACTAAGTTTTTGCAATCTCACTGTTTGAATCCCCACTTCATATGTTTCACTTTTGTATTTCATAACTATTTCCATGAGCAGCATATGTAATCATCATCTTGCGATTTCTCACTGTTTATTTTCACTTTGAAAGTAGCATTATTTCTACTTATTTTGTTTTGTTTAAACTTTCCTTATATAAATTTAAAAAAGAAAAATTCACAGTGAAATGGGTCTCTGTTTAATGACTGCATTAATGTCAAGTTCTGTTTTTAATGCCTGCTAAGAAAGTCTGACTATGAAGCAACAGAATGGCCTTGTAAGATATGTTGAAAACAACCATTCCCAAAAGACTGGCACACATTTAGAAATCTTAAAAGTTGGTACTTTGAAATGCAGAATCTTTAGCTTCACTTTGGGCATGGGCACATATGTGTATCACATATGGATTATTCTGATATGTTTCCCCATTCCAATCTCCCTTCTGTCCTTAACCTGTAGTTCCCTTTTCCATATGTTCAGTCTTACTTTTATCTATAAACTGTCTTTCATTTCATTCCACAATTTATATTTTGGTGTCTCATCTAAAAGAAACCCTGTGACCTTTTAGGTTTTATAGCTGAGCTATTTCACTGAATTGATGGGTGAAAGACCCATCTATTTCTTATGGCAAATGACATTATATTATTTATTTTTTGACATTATATAACACATTTTTTTCTTTTCTGGGCTGGGAATTAACAACACGTATTAGCATAAAATCTGTAGCTTTTTAAAAATCTATTTTAAGAGATTCTCACTGATCATTAAGCTGTGAAGTTTGAACTTGAATTTGCCATTCTGCAAAATCCGATTCCTAGTGTGTTGGGTTTACAGAAATGCATAAGGACAGAGAGTCTATTAACATTTTCCTTCTCCACAAATCCAGTGATAGATAGCTAAGCCTCAAGGCCTGATCTGTTATAACTTGATCTGCTTTGTATATGAGTAAGTATGTATCAGTATTTTATGCAGATTTGAGATTTTAAAAATATCCAGGACAAGTACGAGGGGATCAATTTCTAGAGACAACTGCATATTGATATTCAAAATGAGTGCACTAACATTCCACCAGCCTACTAAGAATATTAATCAGAATGGCTGATTCTCTAGAGAATGGCTGGGAAACATGAGCACTCAGTTTTATTTCAAATTCTATTGCAAACTTAGCAATTGTTAGATAATGAATGTGTTATATTCACATGTAGTCATGGGTAGAAAAACTGAAGGCAGAATGTAATAACTCAAAATGTATTCTTTTCATACTCATCTATATGCAATGTCATACATTTTCATGATTTAATTCCCTCATATATACACCAGCTTATACATCTTCGGAGAATATTACTGACACTAAATTGAATGGTGCCTCATTTCTTTGGCGGTAATTTTTCTGCTGACTCACTAATTACTCATTCCTATACTTGTGTGTATGAATTACCTTAAGTAACTCCAGTAAATTTTGCCTTCTTTTTCAGCTTCCTGGATATCCCCGAGTCCACCTGAATTGTAGACATAGAAATACCAGGACTCTTAAAGTAATACATACAAATTAATAGGTTTTGTTTAGATTTATGATATAATCTGTCCAGGTGTGAGATATTTTTTAAAATGTTTTCATATTCTTTTTCATGAAACAGCACTAATGAGCAACAAACAATATTCTGACAGCATGAGTGACAAAAAGATTGCATCCTTACCTATCATAGTCATGTTCCTAAAGGTTTCACCCATCACATCTCTGTAGAGCTTCTTTTGGGATGGACTCAGCAACGTCCACTCCTCATTGCTGAAGTTCACAGCCACATCCTCAAAGGTCACCAACTCCTAAAGGATCATAAATATATTTCTCAATGGAAGGTTGAGACCCCAGGTTTGGGATATCTTAAATTCTCTCCTAGAAATCTGAATCAAAAGCAAAGTGTGGTGGTGCATATCTATAATCCCAGCACTCAAAAGGCTGAGACAGGATGGCATCAATGAGGTCAGGGCAATTCTAGGCTCCATAGGGTGTTCAAATCCATCTGATATACATACAGAAAGCTTGTCTCAATAAAACAAAACTAAACTAAACAACTAAAACCAAACAAAACAGCTGAATGAAGACTGATTTCTTCAAATTTTAATCCATGTCTTGGTCAGTAATTTTGTGTATATACACATTTTTGAAGACAGCAAATTTGATGCTAGATTGCAACTCTCTGCAAATGTAACAGCCAAATAGGAACACTGATTCTTGTGCTGAATCATGGCAAGATTCCTCGTGCACTGTCTCTAAAGCAGAGCTCACAGTAACAAGCCTACAGGACCAGCAACCACAAAGCACAGAGGCAGATAAATATCCCACCAATTGACTGGAATGCCAAGCAAGCACCTTCCCTCCCAGGTCAGCGGTGGTGGTTTGGCAAATTGAAGCCCTTCCAAGGGGAAAACAAGCAGAAGCTCCTGAGATCCATCCCATGCTGGAATTTAGGACACTGGGAAGCCAGTCAAGCACCACTTCTCCCTGGTAAGCAGTGGCAGTCTGTCAGACTGCAGCCCTTCCAGGGGGAGAACCAACAGCAGCTCCTGAGATCCATGCTATGTTGGAACTTAGGATGCTGTGAAACGAAACAACCAGCCTGTCTCCCTACTAAGCAATAGTGAACCTACTGATGCACCACCTAGAATCAAACATCCCACTTCCCTACCCCTCTTCTTCTGTCACCCCCCATTAGCAAATTGGAACCAGAAATCTAAGTGCCTCCTGGGAAATAAACCATAGCAAATAAGGGGGACTTCCTTCTACTATCTCTTTGAAGGAAAATGGTTTTATTATTGTTTTACTCTATTCTGATTAATAATATTGCTCTATTCAATATTTTGTTTTGATAAGTTCTATAATGTTCTGTATTTCATCTCATTTTGATATATGTGATTAAGGAACAACTATTACAAAGATAACAAAATATACTGTGATACCTATTACTGTTATCCCAGTAACCCGTTGTGAAGTTGTGTACCAACTTCACTGTATGACCTTAGTTGACCTTATGCTGCCTTGTTCTGTTGTATTTTACCAATTTCAAAATTAAATTAAAAATCTAATCAATCACTTTGATAGACTACAGATGATGTCTCTTCAAATCTCATTTAGGCCAATGAGTACTTTGTTCTTAATATACTTAAGCAGCATTTTGAAACATTAATTTGGATTCATAGAACAAAACATAAATAACATCAAATATGATATATAAATAATAACTCAAGTGTTAGGGAAAAACAGCTGTATTTTAAAAATATGTATATAAAATGAAACCAGGCCCAAGCTGTAAATTATACCACACTGTCACCAAGTGATCACTTTCAATTCAAATATAAGAAATCTATCTTGGGATGCTGGTGAAGGATTTCTTCCTTGAATTTGGGGCTATCCTAAGTTACAGAGCTGTCTAAAATAGACAAACCCTGATTGAGACACCGAACAGACAAAGTGAAACTTAAAAAGAGACTGCATAAGACACCTTTGGTTTGTTTTTAAAAAATTATAGCCATACAATACAGAAAAATTCCAACAATATTCAACACTTTCTGAGAAACAATGTGGATCTCTTCCATACTACACAGAAAACACTTTCCTAGTTGGGTATTGAGCTCAGTGGCATGAAGGACTGCCAGGAAAGCATAGGTCATTCATTTGATCCTTGGTACAAAAAAATTGAAAATTTCACCTTCATGACACTGGGGCATAATTAGAGATAATCAAATTAGATCTCAAGTATGGAATACAAAAATCATGTGTTGACAGGGATGTGGAATACTGATTGTTGCCAGAGCTGGTGTTGATCACCTCAATGAAGCAATCAGAACCCAACTTTACTTCATACTTACTCTAAAAACTACCTGACTTTCAGTGAAGACGCTCTCTGTTGTATGTCCTGCTATTTGCTGCCTGCATCCTGTCAGTCACTTCCACATCTTTTCCACACTCCTCTGATCCATCCAAACAGAAAACACTTCATGCCTAACTATTGATATCATTGCAAAATTTCTATTTGGGGCTTCTCATTTACACCAGTTTGATATGTTCATTGTAGAGAATTTCCATATTTAAACTATCTATTAACACCCAAGTTACTAAACCAGCTCTTAATTCAGAGATGACACCTCTATTCCTTTCCATTCAGAAGGATATCACATGTATATGTCCATGCAAATGCCTAAATTTTGGCATTTTCCGATGAGAATTTAACAGGTAGCCCTTTCTGGAATTTCTCCTTCACAAATTTTTACCCTCTCCTTGATAACACTTTCATATTTGCTTCATTTTTCTCAGACTTCAAAACTCTATGGCTGTTTTCACAAACCTAGTCTGTGAGTATGGGTGACACCTAAATAACTAAGTATGTTCAGAAATTATTTTGCAATGTTCAAGAATACACAGGAGTTCACCAATTGTTTAGGAAGCCTTTCTCCACTGAGGCACACTACTACATATCTCTGAATTCTCAGGACCTTTGTCACTACCTGTCATGAGGATAGAAATAGGAGAACATACTATAAATTTAGGAGATCACTATAAATACAAAAAAGGCCAAGTTTAAGTTGAGCCATTGTGGCTATGAGGCCCTGCATTACATACATTAATAAACTCTGGACATTCCAGATCAGCTGCTCTGAGGAAAGAGAGCATAGACCTAGCTCATTACTGCTCTACAAGCTACAAAAGCATCATAGTCAGGGTCTTCCCAAGCTCCTCCCAGTGCCTAAGATGGTGGACTTACCAGGCTAGCAGTGAATTTCAAAGATGATACTTGTGTCTGCTGCTATCATAGTGAAGCCAGGGTTCTGGTGACCCCAAATTACCCTTGCCAACGGCAAGAGGCAAAAGGGATAGTGAATGACCCATGGCCAAAGCTGGAGGACCTCAGGAGCTGAAGATAACTAAATACCTGAGGCTACCAACACCGGAACTACTCCTAAACACTTGGAACTGGTTTCGCCCAATCCATCCTATTTCTGGGCTACTATCCACAACCTCACTATTCCATGGATCCAGGATCTCTCAGGTTCTTTGCTAATCAGGCCACAGGACATCAAAAGTATTAAATGAGATCCAGCAAGCATTTTGCTACCAGTGTTGTACTCAGAACAGGTAAATCATGCTGAGACACCAGAACAGACAGAAGTCACAGCCAGCAATGGCCCACCTCATTGGACAGTTCATATAGCCTGCCCCTTCATCACTGATTGACTCCTGCTCTATTGACCTCCTTCTGAGTCAAGAATAAACAGAGAAAGGAACCACTCCCTGCAAGAGAGGATCCCAAAAGATAGACTGTAGTGCAGAGACTTCTGGAGCTGCCATTCTTCTACAGTGGTGAACTCAGCTCGACAGAGGAGTGTTTGTATTGAAGAGCTTTACCTCAGACTTTTAACTTTTAAATCCATTTTATTTCAAGGAAAAAAGAACACATCAACTAAAATTAAATTTCAAAACATATCAATCAGGGGGCAACAATGGTATATACATTGCACATTGTCATCCCCAGATCATTCACCCAGAGCACAAGACATCTGTACTCAATTTTCCAAACAGTACTGTTACAGGGACGTGAGTTATTTAGATACTATTGGCATAAGACATGGCTAGGTCCCCCAAGGAGCCCATGCAGGAGACCAGATACCTTGCAACTATGGGGAAGACTGACACCTCATGCTATGGGCCAAGGCTCAAGACAAATGATAAGCAAATTCATCCATATCCTAAGGATTGATATTCTAAATAGTTCCCTAGCACTCTGAGGAAGTCAGGAGTCACCATTTAAAGAAATGTATCCTTATCCTAAAGACTGACATTCTAAATAGTTCCTATCATCCTGAGGAACTCAGGAGTCACCCTCCCAAACCTAAGGGAAGAGATACAGCTGCCTAAGAATGCCTGCTTTCTATGTGACTCCCTTCCTCCTTTGTTCCCAATTTAATCAACTTTACCTGAACTTATAATCTTATTGGCTACCATAACTCTGTCCCATCTTATGCCCATCTGCATTGTGAGTTCTTAGTTTCCCCCACCTTAAACTCACTTCACCACATGATTTTACTCTATAAAGGTCCCTAGAATGCACAGTGTTTGGCAACCTGCTCAGGATACCTTCTCTCTCTCAGGCAACATTTTTTCTCTCAATAAGTATATTCTTCTCTTAATTTCTGTTGTTCCTAAAATTCATTCTTGGACTTTACAGGACAAAAACCTAATATCAGACATAGTAGACAGGGAGATTCATTCCAGTATATCAATATCAGTATAAACTTTTCTCTTTCCTGAAGTCAGAGAAATCCAGTAGTGTGTATCACACATTGTTGATCTCACCATGCCATGGATATTTGCATTGAAGGTTTTATCCCTGCCTTTAAGTGCTGCTTCTTTTTCTGAGACTGAAGTGATCTGTAATTTTGGTTATGGTATTGAAAATGCATTAAGGAACTGACTCAAAATATTTCTTATGAATGGTTTACCAACAGCCATGGAGGAAGACAGATAGCAAAAATTCTTTGTTTTGATTTCTTCATTCAAACCAAAGGATGTACTTGAAAGAGCTTTGCCCTTCAAACAATTACAGGACCTCATGGTTGTAGTTCAAGGTGGAAGAATATGAAATCAGGGATACTTACTCATAAGGCCACTTCCTCTTTTCTCCTTGAATACAACTTCCTCTTTCTTTCCCAGAGGCCGAAAGAAAATTCCCATCAGCTCCTTGCATGACATCAATGTCCCCTTCAAGCACCACATCCAGTCAAAAGTCACATATACCCCATAACCCCATAGTCATTGGGGGGGGCAACCC